AACAAATACGGAGTAATGAGGCTTAAAGATAAGTACATACTCTCCTATTGCATGCTTGAAGAAATCCGGCGTGAAAAGCTTGAAACTTACAATAAAATAAAGTCACCGGAATTTCACCGGAAAATATGAGTCATAGACCTCCCAATACAAAATATGGAGAGAAAAATATGAAAAGGGACTTTTCCCAAGTGGGAAAGAAAATAAAATGAAGGATGAATCCCTAATTACAAAGGGAAGAAACATATTTATAATAGGGCCTCAAGTGTGCCTACTGTCGCCGTTGCCCACACTTCCATTAACTTGGGTCCGTGCGTATCCGTCGTTCATGCCTTGACAATGCTCGCACCTGGCAGCAAGCTCTGCACGAGTATGTCTGCATATGTATGGTACCACGTGTCCCGTCAACTGCGGGTTCGCGGGGTAGCCTGTCTTGTCTCGTCAAGAGATGTCCGCGTTCACTGGGTCCAACGAATAAGTACATAATATAAATTACATACATTGATCCTATGGCCCACGCAGGGGTCGTATATGAATGATCTAGTAAAGCATTCAAACTATGCGGTGTCTCACTGCGCGAATAAATTATTACAAACATTCACCAACCCAAAAATCCTCGACATGTCCGGGGCTTATAAAACGACATACATGAATTAACAACACACATATATAGGGGCAATAAAAATTGGATTCAAGAATACCTGCAAACAACACTTATTTGCAATTCTAATATATTATGTGCTGCGCCCGTACACAATTAATTCACATATATCACGCAAGTCCTAATTCGAGTAGTGCACAAAGAAGAATTAGCCTGGACTCTGATACCAATTGTTGGGTTCTATTAGGAACGTCGACTATGTGCACATTCAAATCTATTGAAAAATAAATCCTAACACAGCGGAATCTATACTTAGGATTAGGGCTTACAGTTTAAAATTTTTGCCGACTCTGAGGCGTTTCTGATTTCCTCTACAGGAGATCGTCTGAACCGCAGAGTCCGTTGGGCAGCCGGACTTAGCCTCATCAATGCGTCTCCGATTGCTCGTCGGGCTCATCGAATCGTCTCGAACCTTCAGAAGGTTAGTCAAACTACTCGGACCGCTCAGAATGGGGGCTGCTGGACCGAACGGGGGCTGCTGGACCCGAGTTGAACTGGTTTGGACCTTGCTGGCCGCGTCTGGACCGGTCTGAGCTTCACTGGACCGAGATGGCAGCCTACTGGAGCTGTTGGGTCAAAGAAACAACAAACTGGGCCGCGGACGCGCACTGTTGGGCTGTGGAACTGGGCTGGGAGGCTGGCTTTGCACGCAGGCCGGGATCGGGCTTCTCGCGAGCCACACGCGGGCTTCAACTGTAAGAGCTCGCGGGCTGAACGCGAGTCGCGCGGCCCGCGTGCTTTTCCTCTTCAACACTAGGTTGCGATTCGAAGTTTAGGGCCGCACGTAATTTACTTGGGCTGCTTGCTTCGCTGGACTTCACCATGGATTGGGCCGCGCGCTTGGACTTCAGCACGCTGGGACTTGGGCTTTGCGTGTGCTCTGGGCTACGGGCGGAAGCTGGACACTTGGGCACGGACAACCTTCGGGAGTTGGACCTGGCCGTGGACTGGCATGCTGGGAGGATTCTGGCCGAAAAAATTTTTTATACGTAAAAACGCTCAGATTTATTGTACCCTAAAGCCTTCTAATGTATTACCTCTACACCTACTCTGAATAATCTTGGTGGGCGATTAATCCGAACTCCCAAACTCTCAATATATGTGTTTTACGATTTTTCTTTTCCAAATAGGAACCTTAAAATCGAGCTCACACGCATAGAGGAAGAGGTTGAGACATGATGTATTTATAGGCTATATTAGGGACCGTAAAGATGTGCTAAATATGGGCTTATCCTATTAGGTCTAGGCAACCTAATTATCTTCCATCTCCTTTCCCTTCTAGAAGCTATATTCCTCCTAACCCTAAATTACCTTCTAGAAGACTCCATAGTCTTCTAACCCTAGGTAATTTTCTAGAAGGAATATTCCTCTTCTTAGGGAATTGAATAATGAAAAATAATTAATTCCTAATTCATAAATAAAATTAAATAATAAAACATTCCACTAGAGTAATATTATTGCTCTCCTCATTTAGTCTCAATTTATTCAATAAATTCGAACCTCCACTTGATTAATAAATATTAATCTAATTGATCAATTTATCTCCCTATGTTTAAGATATAACGTCTGTTGATTAATTAAATTATTGACAAAATAATTAATCAACTTCTTATTCATTTTCGAAATTAGTATCACTCAGATCTTTAATCATTATGTCGGATATTCATCCGCCTGCAAGGCTTGACATAATATTCCTTCCTAATTTCAATTTGGGGACATCATCAACCCAACGCACTGGAACATAGTGACCGTAAATAATTTATAACACCACACATCATATAAACATTATAATTTACAAAAATACTGAGTATGTCATCCTAGTAAAATAAGAATCATCCTTGGTAAATAAAAAAAACAAGTAATGAATATATATGCCCGTTTTATATTATCTTACGGCTTAAAAAGACGCATCAGTTACTGAAGGTATGGATTATAACTGCGATCAGTAAATCTTATAATTCCTTATGCGGTCTTGTTCAATACTTATCATAAGTACTAGTGCAATCCTTCAGTCAAAGACCAACTGAATCAAAGACTGCACTATAGTCTTTTTCCAACAGGGGTCTCAATGCCTGTTTAGACTCTGAACACTTATTTTATCTTACAAGGAACCGATAGATGATCTTTCTATTCCACACATCGAACCATACTCTCTACAATGTAAGATAATGAGTATAATTTTATAAATATATAAACTACAAGCATATGTACTTTGACTAAAATATGATTGCCAGATCAAAATGGAATTGCTAGAATCTAAAAGTTAAGCTTTTACAGCATACCTAACAATAGTAACACCCAACGAATCAACCTAGGCTTAGATTGAGCTTTAGCTTTCAATGTCTCAAGGCTGCATGATCACTATACACTACAACCTTATATCCTACAATATAAATACGAAATTTCTCTAGAGCAAAGATAATGGCTAAGAATTTCTTCTCGGTCGTAGTATAGTTCACTTGTGCCTCATTCAAAGTCATACTAGCATAGCAAATCACATGATGTCTTTTCTCAACCTTTTGTCCTAAGACGGCCCCTATCGCAAAGTTCGAAGCATCACACATAATCTCAAAAGGTAGGGACCAATTCGGGGGCATCACAATTGAGGCCGTAAATAGCCTATGCTTCAACTCATTAAAGACATTCATGCATTCATCATTAAAGTCAAAAGGCACATCTAATGAAAGTAAAGCACACAAAGGTCGAACAATTTTTCAAAAATCTTTGATAAATCTCCGGTAAAAACCGACATGCCCAAGAAAATTACGAACATCTTTCACATTTAGAGGGGGCGGGAGTTGTTCTATCACATCAATTTTGATCTTATCGACCTCAATTCCTTTAGATAAAATCACATGCCCAAGAACTATCCCGCTAAGGACCATAAATGTGCAAGGAATGGAGAGAAAGAACCGTGGAACATTGATTGTAAAATCAAAACGCCAGGGGTGGGTCTCGACGATCAGTTGCCACTCAAGTGCATCCTGAAGATCATGTCCGAAAATCACTTCGCTTCGTTCGTTGGGTTGAAGTCGGCTTATCCCGGTTCAAGGACATGCAAAGCAAAATCTCAGTCGCAGTTGAAGACCAGTACTTGCTTGGTTACTCTCAATGCATTGTTTTAACACTTAACAAATATTTATCAAGACAATCGACTAAAGAATCACCAAAGACGAAAAAATCATCCATAAAAATCTCAATAAATTCACCAATCATGTCCAAAAAGTTAGAGAACATACACCTTTGAAAAGTAGCGGGGGCATTGCAATGCCCGAAAGGCATTCTTCGAAACGCAAAGGTGCCAAATGGGCATGTAAAGGTGGTCTTCGGTTGATCCTCCAGGGCAATTGGGATTTGGTAATACCCCGACAAGCCGTTAAGAAAGCAATAGAATGGATATCCGACTAGCTTGTCAAGGAGTTGATCAATGAACGGCAAATGGAAGTGATCCTTCCTCGTGACGGAATTAAGCTTTCGAAAATCGATACACATACGCCACCCCGCCGTAGACCTTGTGGGTATAAGTCCGCCTTGGTTATTTTCAACCACCGTGATCCCACTCTTTTTTAGGACTGCGTGCACATGGCTCACCCATTCACTAATCGCCACGGCATAGATAATCCCCTCTTGTATCAACTTGAGGATCTCTCCTTTCACAACTTCCATCAATGTTGGGTTCAACTGCCTTTATCCCTCTCGGATGGGTTTCGTCTCATCCTCAAGAATAATTCGATGCATACACATGGCCGTACTTATCCCCTTGATATCGCTCAAACTCCACCCGAGAGCGTCCTTGTTAGCCTTGAGGACCCCCACGAGAAGTTCCTTTTCCTCCTTCGAAAGGCCCGAGTAAATGATTGCGGGTTTCTTCTCCTCTTCTTATAGAAAGACATACCTGAGGTGTGATGGTAGCGGCTTAAGCTCACTTGAGGTTTCCCGGGGCTCGGGTTCTTTGGATAGCTCGAAAGATCCACCACGCCTTCTTCTTCGGGGTCAATTTCCTTGGGTTCATCATCATTGGGAACGTCACACTCACACGAAACCTCGGCATGAAAAATATTAGGAACCTCCTCTTCGACCACATCTACATAAGAGCAATTCTCGGTGGCCAACAGTATTGTCCTTGCGACTACTCCATCTGAGCTGTCGCATATGCGCTGAGACAAGTGGCATGACTCCGAAATCCAATGTATAAAAAAACTGCTAGGGTTCCACCCCCTTTCCTTTGCATGATCCTGAAGATGATCAAATTAATTACACAAATCAGATAGTTTCATGAATTAAACTAATATGACATTATTAGTCCTTCAGGTGTCAATCAGAGAGCGGCACAATATAATAATGCCGTACGTACCAGAAAATGGGTATCCCCCCGAAATTGTTTGAGGTAATAATATCATAATAAAGTACTTATACGAAAATCTCACATTTCTTTTCAAAATAATATCAACAATTAATATAAACATTAACTCGTGAACAGATATATGAAAGGAGCCAAATTAATGAAAATCAAAGGTTTCACCATAATCATACATACATAGAATAATGGCGTACGTATCATCAAAAACGAATCCACGATATGATCGAGCATCTACTTATACCCAAGAGTGGAAACGTAACGCAAAATCACTAACACAAATACTAAAAGTCGACGCATTGATATATATAACAACCATCAGTGCTCGATTTCGGACGAGTGCTCGTCGTCCTCGAACGAGTCGACCCCATAGGCCCCATGCCCATCCCCAAAGGCCTTGATATGATCCTTGAGAGACCTCTTGTGCTTGAAATCCGAGCCACACGCACAATACCACAGCTTCCCGCAGTTCTTCTCGTGGGTCCGCCAGTCACCGCGCACGGCAAAGGCTTTTCCGCATTTGCGGCAGACAAAGGGCTTGATGCCGTGCTTCCTTTTGTAGTGGGTTTGAAGGGTGCGGAAGTCTTTAAGGGGCTTGGCACGTGGGTGGTCAATGTTGTTGCGGCAGCCTGGGGTGCAACAGTAGCACGGGAGCCTGAGCATGGCAGTTGGCTGCGTGCCTCGAAGGGATTCGGGGCCTTTACGGTATTGGGAACCGTGGCCCCACATGTGCATCTGTGTCAAGGGTTTTCAGAGGTCAATTAGTTAATTAATTGTTGTTGGTGACTATTTTTTTTTTTTTTTTTTTTTTTAACTTTTGTAGTATAAAACGACGTCGTTTTGGCTTTTATTTTTTTAATTAAATGGAGGCCGAAAACGACGTCGTTTTGTAGGCTCATTCTTTAAAAAAAAATCTGCATCTGTATTAGTCTTCTTCTTCCATTCACGCACGCAGCTCTCTGGTTTTTGCCCTTTTCTACTCAATAAATCTTTTAAAATTGTAATAACTCATCCTTGGCAGAAAAAATTGCCCAGGCTCGCCTATACGTGAGTCCGCCCCTTCCTCTCCCTGTGCGCAGATTTCATGGAAGGGCGCCGGCGCCGCCTCCGGCCGGCGACCTCGGCAGTCGGCCCCTATACCTATTTAAAAAAAAAAATTATGGGATGGCCGAGGCCACTCCTTGCCATAGCGTAGTTTCGCCCCTGTTTACTGATGAATCCTACGTGGACCCGAGCTCATGAAAAATAAAAAATACTAGTCCACGCGGCATTCAGAAAAACTTCATCAAATGCTTGGATTAAGTCTTTTTGTTTATCAGACATGAAGGTGTATTCATAGTCAGATTGAAGCTTCAAATCTAGCTTTAACAAAATCAAGAACCACTCGCATGTGTCCTTATTCTCTTTAGAAACTACTGCCACTGCTAATGGGAAAATATTGTTGTTCGAATCGACACCAACAGCTGTTAAGAGCATGCCTCCATGGGGACCTTTCAAATGACATCCATCTACACCAATAAAAGGTCTGCAACCTGCCATGAAACCATCCTTCAATGCCTGAAGACACAAGTAGGCTCTGTCAAATCTCTTCTTTCCATTTTCAACCTCAGTCCCTATGATGATAGTACTCCCTAGATTAGTTCTTTTCACCTCTTCAGCAAAGTTCCATAGATGGTTGAATTGCTCGTTTGCACTCCCTTGAAGGGCTTCCACTGCCAACTTCTTAGCCCTATATGCTTGAAAGTTACTAACTTGTACTCTAATTTCATGCATTGCATCTGCCCTAAAACCTTTAACNCTAGATTTGTGACATACCTGCATGTTATTGTACCTATTAAATGTCTTGAAACAAAGCGGGCAGGAAAACTGGGTTGGGCCTATTAGAATCTGGGCCGGGCTTGGGATCCAATACTGGCCCTTATTAATCGGGCCCACGACTGCTGCGGCCACACTAACGCCGGATGCCTCTTCCTCGTCCTTGCCGGACTCCGTAAAATCGGCACAAGCAGAAGTCGTTGGAAGCCCTAAATTCAGATTGACGCCCAATAAAGACTGATCATCGTTCTTCTTCGTGTTGTTGGTGTCGAGATCCATGGAAGAAGCACCGTTGGGCCGCGGGCCCAGCAGGGGAAGAGCCTCCTTGAGCGGCGGCGAAGTGGGCGGAGATGGCGGGAATTCATAATTATTACACCTGGCGGTGAAGCCTCCATTATTGATCAAGTAATTGAGGTAGGGATCCGCCATGATGAGAGAGAGAGAGAGAGAGAGAGAGAGAGAGAGAGAGAGAGAGAGAGAGATTAAATGATATACATAAAACAACAATATACCTAAGATGACCAAAAGATGGGAAAGGGGTAATAATTGAACTTTGAAAGATTTACTGCTGGGTTTTGAACTTTTAAATATAAGTAGATAGGGGGAGGATATGGTCAGGGTTGGTAGGAAAGGTAATGAAAGTGGAGTATTAGAAATGGATTCGATGAAGTAAAAGCATGATATGAATAGTACGTCTATTGTCTATTGTGAGATGGTTGATGTTCGCCATAAATTTTAACTCACCTAATATCATATACTTATTGTGAGTTTTACTGGATTTTCTTCTGAAAACCGAGTTGTTATTAATTAATAAGAATGTATATTTCACAAATTTTAGATGTGCACAAATGTTTTTGAAATTAGATTAAATAATTACACTATAATAAATTTGATGTTATATGACAAAAATGCATGTCATGTATTTGTTTGTAAAAATTTGTAGTAACAAAACTTTATAATCAATCACAGTGATCGTTATCGTAGTCGCGGCATGAAATATATCTATGACAATATTATGATTTTTATAACTAATTATTTCACTATCAATGAGGTTGAATTCTTCACTTTCAGAGACTAAGATTTTATTAGTTAATGATTATTACATTGCACAATAGCAAACGAAATCAATCGAACTAAAATTTTTTGTTCACAGTTTTACTTTTAAAGCGCCTTCATCTATGCACAATATTGTGCAATTCACTTATCAATATTGCGTATTTATTATTTATAATAAGTTCGTATAAATATGACAGTGTTTTTTTTAATGTGCGCATATACACACATTATTGTGCAGTCGACTTATTAATATTGTTCTTTTTCTAAATTTTTAATAAACTTCAAATTTGACCCATTGAATTGTAATATAGTGAAATTTCCTTAATTTTCATATAAGTCCCTAGGACTTATCTAATTTTCAAAATCAAGCTCTCCAAATTCCAACACTGTTCGCCCCTCCACCTCACGTCATTCAGTACACGCGCGACAGATGGAAGAAGAGATGTAGCTTCGGAGTCCGTCTCGAACCCTTCGGTGGCGAAGAGGTTGACCACGAGCGCCACTGGTTTCTTTTGCCATTGATCAATTTTTTCGTGGAGGCGTGTTTCAATTTTGACATCCGTCGGGATGTCGCCGAAGCTAATAGACAGAGGAGACGCTATCGATGGAGGAAACCGGACTGTTTGGCCGAGAGTGTGTCATCGTGTGTGATAAGCAGCGAGATGGCGATGGGCGGTAGCGGGTGACAAGGAGCGGTGGTGGGCGACAGTTGGCGTTGGTGGATGGCAGCGGGCAATGGTGGGCGGCAGTGGAGGTATCGCAGGTGGAGTGTGGACAGGCCGTACGAATCTGTGTTATGTGCGTGTACGTGTGTGTGAGAGAAAGAGATGTTTGGTGGAGTGGTGGTGGGGCCCACAAATGAGTGTATAATTGAGTAGTTACTAGTATGCCCTTATTTAGTGGTTAAATGTATACATTTGACCATAAAATGTAAACTTATTAACGAAATTACCACCACACGTTTGACTGCCATATTTAAATTTTGACTTAATCATAACCATTGACATGTTGAATCTAATGGTACAGATTTATTTTCATTTCATTCTCTATCTACCATTAACATACGATTTCAACTATATATATATATAATTGTAGTATAAGGTATATATGAAAAAGTTATATATTACATATATAACGGGAAAATTTTAAAACTAGTCCCACATGTATAGGTGGGTGACAATTTTGGTCCCGATGGAATGCAGAAAATATGAATAGTCCCACAACTTTTAAAAAATGATCAAAAGTAGGACTTTTTCTCCAGATTTACTATTTCCGGCCCGGAACGCCACGTGGCATCCGACGTGTTCATATTTTTTTACAAATTGTGAGATTAGTTTTGAATTTTCTGCATTCCATCGGGACCAAAAATGTCACTCCTCTATACTTGTGGGACTAGTTTTGAAATTTTCCCTATCTAGAAAAAAATTAAAAACTAAGCCACGTGTGCGCCAACGTGTAAAAAATAAGCCACGTGTGCGCCACGTGGCGTTCCGGGCCAGAAATAGTAAATCCGGCGAAAAAGTCCTACTTTTGATTATTTTTTAAAAGCTGTGGGACTATTCATATTTAGTGCATTCCTTCGGGACCAAAATTGTCACCCCCCTATATCTGTGGGACTAATTTTGAATTTTTCCCCATATATAACTATAGCAGTTTTGTTATGGAGCCATCCATAGCTATTGACAAATTGTGTATTGACACGTGTCCTGCAATTAATACACTTTGGACATGTATCAATATATTAAGTGATGGATGACTCCATAAATTTTTTGATAACCATAGATCTATCAGTTTTCATGAATTTAATACCAACCTATAAATGCTTAATACATTAATTAATTTACCTACAATTTACCGAAGATTTTCAAGTTTGATGAATTAAGATTAATGTATTCACAAACTAGCCTAATTAATCCAAGATTGACACTGTTTGGAAGGGGGTCAAGGCACTGATAATTAGGGCTGACAAAAATGAACGACAAACCCTCTTTAAATTATTTAACGAGGGTAAATGATCAAAATTGTATAATCCAAAAATGAACATGGGTTTTGACTGCGACTCCCAATTCCATCAGTTTTCAAGAAGGAATGACTCATTTTAATTAGTTAAAGACTCTTCTCCCATTGGGAATGAATAGGTTTAGTTACAATTGTATATTTTCCTAAATAAAATTCGAAGTCCAAGATTGACACTGTTTCAAAAGTGGCTAAATTAGGACATGGGAAATTAGGGTTTTTGACTGCTGCCCCCCAACAAGTTTATCTAATTGCATATGATTTTGGAGCTTTTCTTTGGGAATTAAACAAATAGGCAACAGAGTATGCCGGCAATTGCATCGATGGTGGAGCACCGGTCGGATTTTAGCACAGTATTACGAGGCTTAAAGTGGTTTTGGCCCCTATGCTATATTTTGAAACATATGCTAAATTTCTTACTGTTGATATTTTTGATCAGTCTTTCACGTTCATTACATGCACTATCAGACTTACTGTTCATTTGTCCTGCCACTGTTTCTTTTTTCATTTTTCCTCTTTTCTTTTTTCTTTTTTCTAAACGCCATTTCAGCAGAAAATTTATTTTGTTCTGGACAACTTACATTTAAATGTAAAATATTATTTTTGATCTATTATATGGTCTCTTTTGAGAAAATGTGGGTATGGTAGTGTCGACGAGACAAATCTAATGGTGAGTCACCCAATTGAAAATTGTACCAGACTACATTACGTAATTAATAACCTCCTCATAGAGACAAGGAATTTGAACCCAAATTATTTCGGATAGAAAATTGAGTGAGCAAATAAACTGTGAATGTGCTGCAATTTATGTCTACGATTTTCTCAATAAGAACAATCTAATTAACTGTGCGTCACCGCTTGCTATATGGTAGAATATTAATATACATATCTTGCAAATGTTTATGAAATTGACATATCAGGAAATCATTAAATGTAAGGAGTGAAACCTACCTATATATGATTATTAGGCATGCAAAATTGCACTTTGTGTCCTGTAACTATGCTTGTGTGGCAAATGTGAACAGCTTTTCTCTGGTTTGCCAAAAGTGCCCTGAAATTTGTTAAAACCCGAAATTTGTGTCCAATATACCTACAAGTTAGTGGATTTGATCGGGTTTTTCATGTGGCAAAACATGACAGTAACTTGTTAAATTTCGAAATTTGTGTCCAAATTGGACACGAATTTCGGTTTTTAACAAGTTTCAGGGCATTTTTGCCAAACCAAAAAGAAGTTGTCCACATTTGCCACACACCCCTCGTTACACGGCATAAAATGCAGTTTTGCCTTATTAGGCAAGTACATAGCTACTTACATTATTACGATAAATATAATACAACAAAATTTTAGCAATGAAAATGATCAGTATATGACTAAAATCAATGGTGTGTATTTGTTTGTTGTTTTCTCCCCTATATATATCTAATCATATCAACTTATGGGTGAGTTAAAACACGAGGTTAATTCACATACAATAAATATCGGATCCTTCAAAATCATAAGAGGAAAAACAGAACAGTAGACACGACATTTGTGTGGACAACGTCATTTAAGGCGTGTCCATCTTTCTCTGTCTGAGTTTGGGTTTTCTGGATGCGCGCATGTGTGGGGTGGCTTGACTCCTTGTGTACAAAGAGTAACCCCAATATGCATTCAGGTTTTGAGGCCCCCCCAATTCCCATACAACCTGCATTCATTCCAGAGAATACTATTATGCTTTCGAAACGTACCCATCACATATGCTTCTCACATGCATCTATCCCTCTCTTATTTTCCTTTTCTTTCCCCAACATCTTTATTACTACATCCAACCAATCCTTTTCATATTTCAGTTTACCTAAACAATGTTCGGCTCCTCCGTCCAGTTGATGAATGAGGATCATACTCGGGTGAGTTAGCCCCAAAATCTGATGCTAGATTGGATTGAAGGCAAAAATTCAATTTTGGTCTGTTTACTTGTCTAAACTCATTTTTTGGTACACCAACTATCTACTCATCAATAATAGTATGTTATGTTGCAATTTGTATCACTATTGAGACATTATTCCAAAAATGGTTCATTATTTTTTAGAATTAATGTCCTAAAAATGATACAAATTGCAACATATAAGTAATGTAAAAAATATAATACAAATTGCAACATAACTTACTTTTTTTTAAAGAAGTAAGTTAGTGTACAAAAATGGACTTTAGATAAATAAACGGACCAAAATTGAAATTATTCCTTGGATTAAATGTGGCAGGAAATTAATATGGGAGAATTAATTTAAAAACAAAATTATATTTGAACAACAATTCATTTAAATTATTTTAAACAAATAATTGGATAGGGAGAACTTAAATTAAATATATTATTTGATACAACTTCAAACCAAAT